GCTCTAGAGTTCCTCAGAGGGTGAGGAAGGGGGAAAATATCAGTAAAGGTTGAAGGGGGGTAATAAGTGTATTCTATTCCAGTACTCTAGTAGTATTCACTATGTGTATGTATGTATGTATTCTCCGCCACCATATGACATCGACTTGACTGAATTAAGTCTAGTAGTAGTAGTCTCCTCCGCAATTACTTCCAGTCTTCCTTTCCTAAATTGACTATCATCACCCCCCTTTGACTCATTTATGACACGCTGCTGACTCTGATATTGACTCGATTCACCTGATTCATTCAATACACAATCCGTCACTTCATTGTTTCTCCGAGTGGAGCATCTCACCCACAGCCCAAGCCCCAAGCCCACACTTTGCCACAACAGCCCCGGATCTAGCCTTTCACCGTTTACTTATACAATCAGTATAATATTATAGTTGATATAGTTATGTTTTAGGATAAATATTTTGGTATCTTGGAAGTTGAACTCTGGTTGATTCGTAAATACCCCGTACCCCTGGGATACATCTCACAGGGATACTAACTAATACATACACACATGCATTCCTAGGATCGACTGCCCGCCTTGCATCTGCGCGATCTTTCCGTCTGCAGGCCCGATTCTTCCGACCGGATTGATTCGGGCTGCTACTCCACCCTCGCCTGTCAGATGTAGTCGATGTAGTCTCCAGTAGGTACGAGTACTACTGGTATCTAGAGCAGGCTTGATGATTCTGATGGTCCATTTCATTCTGAACTTGAACACTTAAAACACACGAGCAAGGTTTCTATTTATTTTGTCTTCTGCCGACGGCACGAGCAATACCTTTCTTGCATCCATGGGTTTCCCCAAATACTACTCCTAATACTACTCCTAATACCGATCATAACCGGTGCTTCGCCCCGCGTAGTCGGGATTCGACGAACCCGAGGAATCATGGTCATTTCCAAGCCAACCGCCCCATCGTTCGCTGGTTCGTCGTGTCGCACGGTTCCCCAGATCCTCGTCATCCACAACATCAAATGAGTTGTCGCTGGCATCCTTCCTCAGCGGTCCTCCGTACGCCAGATCATCCGTCTCGCGATCATCTCGCCCCATCGTCTGCTCCTCCCGCATCAACGTCGACCGCAGATGATCCAGTACCTCGCGCTGCGCGGAGATATATTCGGCCTTTTGCGTGCTCGACATGCTCTGGAGTTGCCGCTGTAGAAGCGTTCCGCTGGCCGACAGCTCCTCCTCTCGTGCCTCACGGGACTTGCCCGTCGAGGTAATCGAGCCTAGGGTCGAGCTGAGAACCGAGTACCAATCGTTCGAGGCGGCAGAGCTGGACGCAGCAGCGGCAGCGGCGGGGAGATTGAATCGTGATAACAAGGATTGCGCATACGAAGCAGGTCCCGACGGGGGTGGAGGTGGTTGACGCTGGGGAGGGAGACCCATCACTTTCTCCCGGATAAGGTCGATGGCCATGTAGAAGTATTGCAGGCCCAGTACCTTGGCGCGTTCATGAGCATGACCGATCATGTCCTCAATCTCCCGTTCGTGATGTGTCAGGAATGGATCCACATAGTCTTGGTAAAGGAGGCGGGCGCCTTGGGTTTGTGGGAGGACGAGATAGCACATGAAGAAAAGGCGGATCCAGCTATAGAACGGGAACCTGTGTGTGAAGAGAGAGACCTTTTAGCTTGACGAGCTCCTGGTCGAAGAAATACGTGAAAAAAAAACCATACCACCCAATGATAAACACGGTCCAGGATTCAGCCAACAGAATGACAGATAGAACCACCCAGTACATCAGCCATGGTGCCAGCTGGGAGGGATCGGCGGAGCGGAGAGCCTTGTAGGATGCGAAGATAGGGAAGAGGATCGTGATGACGGAGCTGCAAGGAGGGAGAGTCGGTATTAGAAGGCACAATTCCAATATATTATATCGAGGTGGGGATCAGGGGAAACTACTTACGACATCAAGTCCGCAATGATTCCGAACATGATGGGCGTTGTGGGAGAGGTGTCTTATTCGCAAAGATTTTAGAGGGGTCGGTGAAGCGGTGGAGGATCAAAAACAAAGCTTCCCCTCCACGCCTTTTTTAAGCCGGTGGGTTGAAGGGAGAACAGCTCCGATGGAAAATCTCTGAACTTTGGGGGCTCGAGAGAAAGGAAAAGGAAAAATCTCAGCAAAGGAAGCGGAAGAGCTAAACAATAAAGATGAGGTGGGGGGGGGGAGAAAGAAAGAGCATGGCCCACCGCAGGCTTCCATCTCAGCTGAGCATTTCAGTAGTAATGCACTCCCCGCACGGGATCAACGGGTCTTCTTGACGTCACGCCATAAACCTGGGGAACAACAACACTTCGGTTTACTCTATAAACCTCAAAGATGTAGCATTTCTGGCGTTGATCCTGCTTTACTGTCCTTCTCTTATCTTCAATCGACCTGGAGAGACCCAGACCCTGCGATCTACCAACTGTGGAGCTCCCAAATCGGCCCAATCACCCGATGCCCAAGCTTCTTTCTTGTATGACCCCGGGCCCTTTCTTTCCTTCAAGTCTCCGGTTCCGCTCACCCTGGTCTTGTTGAACTATTTTGTTTCCAATCTACAACCAACAATCTCTGATCTTGCAAGACTCCTCTGGCGTGCTTGCAATATCCCCCCCCTTTCTCCCCCTTCGCCCCCGCATTCCATCCTCGTTTCCCCGCAGCCATCGAACCTGTGGCGCCTCGGGATTGACAATGTGCATCGCCTTGGTCTCAACTCTCCACCCGGCCTATTCCCTCATCGTCATTGACAATCGAGATGTATGTCTCCTAGTCTGCGTTGGAAGATCTGACCCGACTGCTAACAACATCCAGGAATTCCTTCGCCGTCCGACTTCGTCTCCCGACTGGTGGCCGGAGCCATCCTCGTTTGTCCTCGGCTCACGCGACCTAGCACGGGCTACCCACGGCACTTGGATGGGGGTCACCAAACAAGGGAAAGTAGCAGTTCTCACCAACTACCGCGAAGATACCGCGATCGAGGCTATTGGACAATACAGTCGGGGTAGAATCGTCAACAGCTGGCTGACCAGTCCCCCCAGGGAGCATCAGACCACCCATGACTTTGTACAATCTATGGTGGCCAGCCCAGAGGCGAAGCAGGTCGGCGGATTTAGCCTGATCTGTGGTCACATCAATGAACCACTGGCCATTGTCTCTAATCGGTCTTCCGATATGGATCACATCACCTGGGTCGCTAGTGAGAGAAATCAAACCCGAGGTCTCAGTAATACTAGCGTGGATGACCGATCATGGCCAAAGATTATCCATGGGGAAAGACTTATGCAAGAAGCCATTGAAGGCCATGTACAGTCCCAAGAAGACGAAGAAGCCTTATTGGAGCGCTTTCTCGCGGTACTGAGTACCGATACCTTGCCCCAGCTCCCTGGCGTGAAGAAAACACTCGACAATTACGTCAATGTTCTCCGAGAAAGTATTTTCGTCCCTGTGATTGGGTCGGACGAAACCCCAGATCAAAATGCAGAACAAGAGGTTGCCGCCCGCGGACCCCTGGATCAAAACTATTCTTCGGGTCCATATGGAACACAGAAACAAACGATCCTCTTGGCGCGGCCCGATGGCCGTGTGAGATACTTCGAGCGAACTCTTTACGATGACAAGGTGAATGCCGTACCTGTCGGACAGGGCGACCGGTCCTTCGAATTCCACGTGGAACCATAGCAATTAGCCGGCCACGACAGCGATGTGCGTGGCCACCGTGACTCTAGACTTTGATGTGCTATGAAGTGATGAATTTGCATGAAAGTGCCGACAGATATGAAACACAAGAAAGAGGGGATATTGTTCGCCTACCGTATACGGGGCCGGTACTGTACCTAGTATTAATCCTACAGCCTGAATCCATGAAAGAGTACAATTGTGGTTCTCACAGCAATATTACCTCTGGTCTATAATAGTTTGTCGTTCAATCATGCCATGGCGAGCATTTTCAACGAGTACTCTGGGGGTGTATGAGTAACTGATGTCTCACATCGCAGGCACTAATCCAAAACTGCAGATTGAACTTGAAGACGTGAGTGGAAGTCGCAAAAGATATTCTTCTGACACTTATCCAAACCTGAATGCACCCAGGCCATCGACAGTACTGAATTTGCCTGCACTTATTGGCAAAGGACCCCCCCCGAAACAAGTTGGGCCACAAGTGTTGTTAGCGCATTCCTCTGCTGTCATGCTAAGCGCCCCGCCGGGTTTCACCTTAAGGATCGCTCATCTACCCAGGGCTTCAACTCTTCGGCCACAACCCCAACTGGGAATGGCCGAGTCCACAAACATACCGGAACAATTTCCTTCGGTTATCCCACCTACAAAGTGTCTTTCCAGAACAGACTCGAAATGACCCTGAGCCCCTGTGGGCCTCACTTTGAGTCCCCACTCTACGCCAATCTCATCACGGCCCGGGTACCTTATGAGCCCTAGTCACTGAGCCAATGTCTTTAATAACAGAGATGCTAATAAAACTAGATTACACTAGAGTCAGATAATGGCCGTTCCAGGCCGTTCGTGCCATAACTAGTGGCTCCCAAGCAATCAGGCTCCCTGTTTGACCCCTAACCCTGGATCGACTATCGAACCCATCACACGGAGAAACTATGGCAATACTGTGTTCTAGATTGGTCGTCTCCACAGAAATCCTTTTCACAATGAGCTAAGGACCTGTATAGTGGTCCTGCCTGGTGGGTCCTTGAACAGTGAACCCACCTCAAGTATCAGATGCTTGTTAGACACCGCTAAGCCTAATGGAAGACGCTGTTCGACGCCCCCTCCAAAGCGAGGACAGGGTATATAAAGTCAGAGGATGGCTGCAGTTTCGATCTTTCCTTGGCAGTCGTTTCATCGCATACATTCCTTTCCTTCGCTATCAAGAACTGGTTTCTTGGTTTCCTTCTTTTAGATTCCATTCTTTCAATCTTTTTTTTCTCGACAAGCTCGACATACATTCTCTTATCTTTCAACCAAGATGAAGTTCTCCAACGTTGTTCTCGCAGCCAGTGCTGCCACCATGGCCTACGCTTACCCCGGGGCCGTGATGTTATCCCTAACAAGCGTAGCGTGTCCAAGCGTGCTAACGGCTTCACCTGTATGCTTTTTCAACTACCATGCCCGTTATCATGATAAACCTAGGCATTAACTTTACTTAGGGGTCGGTGTCAGCGAGTCTGGCGCTGAGTTTGGTGAGGGCAACATCCCCGGTACCCTCGGTACCGACTACACTTGGCCCGAGACCTCCAAGATCCAGGTCCTGCGCGAGGCTGGCATGAACATCTTCCGTGTTCCCTTCCTTATGGAGCGTCTGGTTCCTTCCAGCCTGACTGGAACCCTGGATGCCACCTACCTGAGTGACTTGAAGTCTGTAAGTGGATGGATCGTCGGATGGGAGAGGTTTTCAGTGTTGATGCTAATATGATATTCCTCATAGACCGTCAAGTTCATCACCGACAGCGGTGCTTATGCCGTCCTTGATCCTCACAACTACGGAAGATAGTATGTTTCTCTTTTCATTCTTCACTTAAATACAAAGAAGAAGAATGCTCACAATTTCCCAGCTCTGGAAGTGTCATCTCCTCCACCGACAACTTCAAGGCTTGGTGGAAGACCGTGGCTACTGAGTTTGCCTCCAACGAGAAGGTTATCTTCGACACCAGTACGTTGAACACGGTTTTTTTTTTGGATCTGGAAGCTCCAAACACTGACCATACATTTAGACAACGAGTACCACGATATGGACCAGACCCTGGTTCTCAACCTGAACCAGGCCGCCATCGACGGTATCCGTGCTGCCGGTGCTACCACCCAATACATCTTCGTTGAGGGCAATGCCTGGACCGGTGCTTGGTCCTGGACTGACAACAACGACAACATGAAGGGCCTTACTGACACTGAAGACAAGATTGTCTACGAGATGCACCAGTACCTCGACTCCGACAGCTCCGGCACCTCGGAGACCTGTGTCAGCTCTACCATTGGCAAGGAGCGCATCACTGCGGCCACTGAGTGGCTGAAGACTAACAACAAGAAGGGTTTCATCGGCGAGTTCGCTGGTGGTGTTAACTCTGACTGCGAGACTGCCGTCAAGGGCATGCTCTCTTACATGTCTGACAACAGTGATGTCTGGATGGGCGCTGAATGGTGGGCAGCTGGCCCCTGGTGGGGCAGCTACATGTACAGCATGGAGCCTACTGATGGCCCTGCTTACTCGACCTACCTGCCCATCCTGAAGGAGTACTTCGTGAGTAGCTCTGGCTCATCAGCCTCAACCTCCACCACCACTGCTGCCGCCACCACTGCGGCCAGCACCAGCACTTCTTCATCTACTACTTCATCCACTGCTTCATCCACCACATCTTCTGCCGCAGAGGCAATCAGCACCCCCAAAACTCAGGCCCAAGTTTCTAGCCCAGCAACTGAATCTTCCAGCTCTCTTGATAGCTCCGCTGAGTCGGATGCCCCCACCGCCACCGCAACCTCCTCCCTGTCCTCTATTCCCGTCGTCGTTCCCACCGCCGCCCCGACTACCTTCGTTAGCGCTCCTTCCTCTATCCAATCCTCCACAAACTCGCCCGCTAGCACTAGCACCAGCACTCCCAGTGTTGGTGGTACTGTTGCTCACTACTACCAGTGTGGCGGAGCCAACTGGACTGGTGCTACTACTTGCGCCAGTGGTCTCACTTGTGTCAAGCAAAATGAGTTCTATCACCAGTGCCTGTAGAGCATGGATTAGTATAATTGGGGAATCGATTGTAGGATATAGAACAGGAGATTGTTCGGTTGGGTCAGGTATTACTTTCTTTTCTAGTTGGAGGATTTTTCCCTCACCTGTATATTTTTTCACTTCTGCCGCTGAGAAGATTTACTAGTACCTGCTACTAGTACTTACTTCTCAGTGTGCTTCAATTCAACCATTTTGCACCCATTATTTCTGGCACGTAATGGTCGAGATACTCTACCACTGGTACCTGAATATTTTGAATCCCGATTCTCATCAGTAATTGCAGACAAGGCTAGTAGGCTTGCCTTTTTGATTATATTCTGTCTCTTCATGACCCACGCTGACTTTTGAACCACCGGTGCTAGATGCTACTGAGGCGCAGCACACCAGTAAGATGGCCGACTCGCCGTTTCTCTTGTGACTGTTTTGGGTGTTCGAGAGCCATATCGTGATGGATGAACATAACGTTATCCCGCAGCTTCTGGAATCAGATATTGTCGGTGTTGAGCTCTTCTACAGTGAGGCTAGTGCAGAGCCAAGGCGATGATCACCCAAATATGGTGAGTGGCCAATTACAGTGTATAGCTGCCCACGTTCTGCAGCATTCAGCAGACAGAACTCCAGAACCCTGCGTGGGCCCTAATGTTTACCTAACACTTGCTACGACAACCGTCGAGACAAAATGTGCACATATCTATCTTCATCGAGCTCGTGCTCTACTCCCCTTCCCAGCGTACAGACGGGTTATTGTACCCATCAAATCGCGTCCAGTTACACGACACCAAGTACAGCGTGCTCTTCTGCGAGCGCGTCTGGTACGCGAAGGAACCCGAATGGAGAATCCCAGCAGCTCGGGCACTGCTGTTGGTCAACCTCCAAATTTCCGCTGAGACAAAGGCAGTCCTCTCTCGGTGTCGAGTGTCGTACATTCTTGATGTCGGAATAGTCCAGGGCCGCTACCTATGGCCGACCTGGCTCGCTGTCCCGATTCTGTCCAACTGTATTGATAAGCTGACGGTCAACCTCCGGGTTTTTGGCTCTGCAACTTCTGCGACTCGACACTATAACGCGTTTAGAGACACTGAGTCTCAAACAAACGGCAATCCGCCCCCTTTTGCCAGAATGCTCTATAGTTTGCTAGAGCGGATTCTAAAGCGCGGCCCGTCCTTTCCTTCACAGGAGAATTTGACACGCCTGACTGAGAGTACTGGGTTTCAGCAGCACTTTCCAGTGGAGGGATTGGGAAAAGAGGAATCGCTATCCCGGATCCAATCTATCGTGTTCGTTGGGGAAAATGAAAGGATCGCTGATAGTGAAACGCGGGTTAAGAATCATAGAGCAAGAGTGGCCCTTGGGAGGGCGTTTGAGGATAGGGCATTGTGATCGAGAAGCTCCAGTTGAATTGTCAAACTCCACCTGTATGGCAAGGTCAATGGCTTTCAGAACCGGAACTTGGGTTCGAGGAATGGCGGTCGAAGGCGTACTATACATCGCGGGCTGGAGACATTCCTGTGATTAGGCCAAAGTGGCTTGCTTCGTATGTGTCTTCTGAGCTTTCTTCATTACTCCGGCTGGGGTATAATGATGATTGGGTTGCTGGGGTATTTTATGAGCGGATTGGCTTTATACAAGTGATTGTTGATGAAATCCCGATGACGGTATTCAACCTTAGCCATATTCTGGATGGACTTCAGTTGACAGACCCGGGGAATTTATTCAATGGATATGCGTCGATGGAGGAGCGGACGCTCATGTTTCAAGAGTGGAAAGAGGGGAGACAACGGCTAAGGAGGCAGAACGACTTTCATGATGTAAATGCATGAACATGCCAGCAACCATTCAGATCCGAGACCTAGGTTATTTGACTTTCTGTCTTGCCCTGCTGTTAACTATTAGACACCTGGCTGATAGTAACTAATACCATGAAATGTCATTGAATGAGGACGGATGGAGGAAAAGATAATGAAATTCCTCCGGGCCTGACGCCCGAACCAACTGAAACGTCGATAATCAGATGGACGACGGCCATGAAACTGGCCGCCCCCATAACAGAGGCGTCCTCGCCATGAACAGAAAAGTCATGAACGAAAAGACAAGATAAGGACCTTCTTCTCCTTTTCTCTCCTCCATTGCCTCAAACTATTTCTCCTTCGCCTGCTCTAGATACTCTTCCATCTTCTCATTCAATTTTGAATTGAAGGTTTGAAGATGATTTATCACAGCCATGGCCCGGTCTCGAAGCTCATCATCAAGTTGAGAGATTAGTTCGGGGTTCTCTTCAAGGCACCGCTTTGTCGATGCAGCGGCACCGAGGGCCATACGGGCCACGAGAACATCGCGCTGTCTATCTGGTGATGGATCGCCCATTTCTCGTAGATCATCTATTACTCGATCGTGTGCGTCGACCAACTCCTGGAGTGACGATCTTTGTCTCACCGGGGGGTTGTCGGCCATGGATTCGCTGAAAGCTTGTAAATACGATAGCATCATAATATGGGAAGTCGGGGGCGGTTTGGTGACGGGCATCGTCAGTTGCCAGGGCCCTCTTGAAGGGAGTTCGCTGGGTTGATAGATGTACCTTCCTCTGCTTTGTCGCATTCTTCATTGGTTTGCTTCATAGTCAGCGGCTGAGGGTTGTTATGGGAAGCGTTGCTAGCTGCACTTCCGTTGTTGCTCGAAGTGATATTGCCGGCAGCAGCACCAGAGGCAGTATTGTCTCCCATGGTGGTGTTTTGTGTGTTCTTGATGACTTGAGTTTTATTTGGTTGTCAGAATTGTTTTTGTGGCGTGTTCAAACGAAGATGATGAAAGGTGTAGGTAATGAAGACGAAGGAGGGAGGCTGATATAGTTAGTTAGTTCGAGATGGAGAGAGCCTGAGGCACCCCGCACCTCGCCTTAACAGAAAATGCAGTCGCTAGTATGCTGGGCTCATCGCTTACCAGTAGATAGTAACTGATAAGATGAGATATCACTAAACGAGGACAGATGGAGTGGAGATCATGATATTCCTCCGGGACTGACGCCCGGTATGTGACTAACTAGTGGTAACTAACTTGTAGTTATGTGGGTATTCCGATGGTCGACGGCCATAACGCCTGCCGCCGCCATAAAAAAGGCGTTCTCGCCATGTAAATGACAACAATAAAAGAAAAAAAAGACGAGAACAGAACAGAACCTTCTTCTGATCCTCTCTAATCCTCCATTGCCTCAGACTGGTCCTCCTCCATCGGCGCCGATTTCTCTGCGATCTTCTTATCCTGACAGGCAACGGCGGCTTGAAAACGGGTTTTCGTTTCTGTGATCTTTTTCAGATACTCACTGTCAAAATTGGAGGTTATGCTGGGGTCTTCCTCCATCATCTTCTCTAGCATTGCATTGGTAGCGATGGCCCCCCGGAGCTCGAGCGGGTAGTGTTGTGCCTCCTGTGCTAGATTTTCCATTGATAGATCGTATGTGCGCATCATATCCTGGAGGAATGCTCTGTCTGCCGACATGGAGGGAATGGTGGCCAGATATTCATCGAGAGCTGATATCTTATCCCGTAGTTTGAAGTCGCCGTTGTCGTCGCTATCGCGGAGGCCAAGGTAGGGAGCGTCCGGGGCGGCTTGGTGATGGGCGTCATCAGGAAGTTTGTCAGCGCCCCCTTGGAAGTGCTTTGCCACAATAATATCAAGCCTGCCAACTGCTTTATTGAGCATATCAGCCGTCAAGAGTTGAGGGTTGTTTTCGCTTTCGGGAGTGTTGCCAGCTGCACCGTCGTTGTTCGCGGTGGCATTGCCAGCAGCAGAACCCGTGGTAGGGTTGTCAGCCATAGCGGTGTTGGACGTGATCTTGGAGTTCTGAGTCTAGTTTAGTTGTCAAAACGCCTTTTCAGGTGTGTTCAAACGATTTCGAGATCTCACAATTGGGGGTTCGTTTCTCTTCTGAAACGCGTTGCTGTTCTTGTAGGGTATGTTCACTTTCTGGGAAGGCGAAATTCACACAGATCGAGGTAGTAGATGTCTCAGGAATAGACTTTCCGATCGAAATGAGTTTAGTTGAAGACTTTTTGGTGACTTCAGTATCACAAGTGAGGCCTCAGGTAGTTGTTGAGCGAAAGTGAGGGACGCACCGAGAGGGCAAAATGAAACTGCTAGTAGGCCGGACTCATATCCTACCAGCGGAGGATAACGGATACCATGCAATAGTACGAAAGGAGAACGGACTGAGTGACTGATGGTGGTGATGAGATTACTTGAAGCTATCCAGACTCCCTACTATACATAGACAAGGTGGGTCCAGGCTGACTAGCCACGGATGCCTGGCGCCAAGGCCTCGACAGTCATTCACTCAGACCCAAACGGAATCCTCAGCAGCCTGGTCCGATTGTATGAGTAATTTATGTGTGGCATTACGCAGCGGCCATTGACGAGGCTTATAGCCTGGCGGTTTCCAGTGCGTGTTCGAGGAATGTGAACCTTGTTACCAGAAGATAGAAATGAAATGCTTCAAAAAGCGAATATAGACAAGTGCACTCTATTTCCACCAATACCGTCAAGGATGGTAAGAAGCTCAAGTTCATTTCCAGAATAGAAGCGAATAAAGTACATTCATCACAGAAAGATATCGTAAGGGTCGTTTATTGAGTGGTACCAAGGGTAAAGCACCATGCAAAATCCAAAACAAATTAGGCCACCCCTCTCCCCCCCAGATGCAAAAGACCACCAAGAAAAAGGAGAATCTTAAATTATAAGCTTACTTGCTCCAAGTAAGCAGCTATCATGCGTCAGCTGCCTCGTGCATGCGAACAGTGACCAGGTCGGCCGGGGCGGCAGTCAGAGTCATAGACCAACGGGGCTTCTGATCAGGATTGACATCCTCAATCTGGTCAAAGCGCTGGAGTAACCGAGCAATGACATAGCCTGCCTCGGTAAGAGCAAATTGCTGACCGATGCAAATACGAGGACCGCCGTTGAAGGGAATATACTCCCATCCAGCCTTGCGGTTGGACCAACGTTCCGGCTTGAACTCCTCGGCATCTTCGCCCCAGAGGTCCTTGCGGCGATGCATAACGTGAACACTGTAGACGACGGCATTGCCCTTCTTCAGGTAGACGGGGGACTCGCCATCCGAACCACCGCCTCGGGGCAGAGTCGTATCGCGAGCAGCCTGGCGGCGGTTGAATGGGACGACAGGGTACAGGCGCAGAGACTCGTTCATAACGTACTGCAGGTATTGGCAGTTCTTCAGCGCGGAGAAGGTAAGGTTCTGGGGGTTGGAGTAGGTGCCGAAAGTTTCGATGATGGTCTCGCGCAGCTTGCGGAAAATCTCCGGGTTGCGGGCGAGCATTAGGAAGGTCCAGCTGAGTAGCGAGGCGGTAGTGTCTCGGCCGGCCAGCAGAATGTTCAGGAGCTGGGAGCGCAGTTCGATTGGGTCTTGGGTTACCTCGACCAAAGCGTTCAGGAAGACGTAGTGGCCGGACTTTTCGGCATCAGCGGGGGCGGTTTTCTCATTTTTGGCGGCCTTTAGGGCTCGGTCAACGACCTTGTCCACAAACGCGTGGACCTGCTGGTCAGAGTGGCGGGTTTCCTTGTTGTTGACGATGAAAGCGAGCCTCTCGAATCGAGATCGTTGGGCACAGACCCACTGAGAGTTGTCGAAATAGCCAGCGAACGAGTCCTCGATTCGCTGTAGTCCTTGAATCGCACCAAGCTGACTCTCCACACTCTCACCGAAGAGAAATTCCGTTGCGCTGTCGATGGTCAATCGGAAGAAGATAGATTGGATATCAGTTGCCGCAGTCCATCCATTGGCTGCGACAGGCAGAGCTTGCATAGCCTTCTGGACATGAGATTCCTCGAGCTCTAGCTGGCTGACCTGCTCACGAGTGAACTGTGGTCGCAGCAGCCCACGGGATCGGGACCATTCTTCTCCGTCAGCAGTGAACTAAATAGGGATATAAAGATTAGTATAAAAACAGATATTCCCCATTTTGTGGTTGATGGAGCGAGGCTTATGCCTTGCGCCTCCACCGTTTAGGTGGCAACCATGGTATGACGTACAATTCCGGTACCCAATAGAGGGTGAACACTGCGACGGCGAATTTCACCGAGCTCAAAGTCCTTGAATTGGGTTGCGAGCACTGCCTGGATGTTCTTGGGATCGACGGTGAAGTAAAGATCGCGACCGAGATTGCGAATAATGAAGGTGGTTACGTTGCGGTTCTCGATATCACTGATGGTTTGCACACGTTGCTCAGCGAGCGCCGGCAGGGCCTTAGCCTTGTCGGCGGCGAGCGAAGCTTTCAAGTTACCGATTCCAAAGGGGTCGGAGCATGGGTACATTGGCACATTGGCACAGCCAAGCTCTCGAGCTTTGCGCGCGTGTTGCCAGGAGTTGACCAGGGAACGGACGATGTGTAGGATCACGGCTGCGGCCGCGAAGCCAAGTATAAAGGTTGGGGTCATGATGGCGACGCGCTGGGAAAGCTGATCATCGACGATCAGGTAGAAGATGTTCTAAGGGGGACGGCAATATATATCAATTTTTTCATTCATTCCTTCGTCCGTACGTACGGACGGCCAGGGCCTCGGTTGAGAGCATCATAGGGTGGGGGATGCAACACACAGACAGGATGATCCCACGTCGATAGAGCCAATGAGGGCTAGTACGGAGGTCAGATACAATGGGTCGTCGGACTTCGCACTCATTACAATGTGGACTCCGATCAGATCGGTCGCTCGTGCTCGGTGTGGGAGTCGAGCCCGTGCCGGTTAGCCCGTCGCACCGTCTTTGTTCTCAGAGCCCCCACAGAAGCTGAACTTGAGTTTGCGTGTTTCACACCGAACAGTGTAGCTTTCCACATTCCAGCTGTTCGCAGAAGGGCGTGCATATCCCTGATAGGGAATGTGTAAGATCACAGACAGATATGGACCACGGTTCCCCTTCTCCATTTCCACTCTCCCCGAACAAAGGAACAGTTGAATCCGGGGAAGATTGAAGGTCGGAAATTAAGCGACAAAAGAGCTGCAGCTAGGCAGCTAGGCCGCCTGGAAGGTCTGCAGAACAAATGTGGTTCCCTTTTGTGGTGGATTGCATTGCAGGGGTTCCCAGGGTTGCAGGGAAGCGGAGACTGCCGAGGTCTCCCTATTTGCGATTATTCAACATCCAAAGGCGCAACTCAGTAAGCCCGCGCACCGATATCATGTTTAATGTAATCCGTATCATCATCTCTTTCATCGGGATACGAGTATTCGAACTCGAAATAATCCGTCAGAACCCTTGGACCTCGTAGCATTTGCACTTGTTCATGCCTGAGTGGGAAGATTCGCGACCGGAGCCACCGGAGTTGCCGGACATGTTGTCGGCCAGATCGTACCTGGAACTAGGAGGAGGATTGCAACCCTCTCAACAGTCCTATCATCATCATCATCATCCACTGGGAGTCGACACGCCAGATAGTTCCCCTGCGACCGAGAAACCCGATATCAATGCTTCTGCTTCGACTTCTCCCCGGGCAAGTCGGGCCCGCGCTCTGCCAAACCGTCCAAGTCCAACTCGGAGAAGACCGTGACTGTGGGTCATTCACGCAAACGAGGTCGCCCGAGACTTGAGACGGCGAAGGATGCGGCTGCTATCGAGGTATCCAATCCAAGTGCATCAGTGAATTAGTGAATCACGGACATCCCTCATGACTAACTCCGCTGCAGGAGCGGCGACTTCAAATCCGTCGGGCACAACGAACCTACAGACAGAAGAAAGAGGCAACCATCCAGGGCCTCAAAACCCGCGTAGAAGTGCTTGAACAGACTCTGCAGAATGTATCTGATCTGATAGGCGCGGAGCCCGAGGTCGAGACCTCGAACAGTCTGACCAGTGGGCATTTGTCGACGATCGCCCGTACAAGACAGTTGGTCCTTGCGGAGATTGGCAGAGTACAACATCCGGAGGAAAGTGCAAATGGCGACGACCATGACCGTGACCGTGACCGTGATGGACATGGACAAAATACCAACACTCCACGCGAGACTTTCGGATATCATGTCTCCCCTCATTCCAATACAGAAGATCACTCGATCACAATCTATCCCCAAGAACAAGCTTACCCCCATCCCCGATCCCCATCCCCTCTTATCAATCGCCTCTTCCCAACAACCACCATCTACACTTATAGTCACCAGGAATCAAATCTTTCCCGTCGTCTCCAGCGCTTCTGTCTAGAGCATACATACCGATGGCTCTCAGATGCACGCTCAGAGCCCGACCTGATGGCCCGAGTCTTCGGCCTCATCCCATGCATCCAGGATATGCCAGGCATCCGCCGCAACTACCGGCGCATACTACGAGCCGAGATCGGCGACCCACTAGAAGTGGTGGACAAGTTACCCTTCTACAAGCTCGGCGGCGCAGGTACTCACTACCCACGCATCGGACCAGATGGACAGCCCATTTACCCTGACAAATTGCGCCGGCCAGGGAAGATCCTGCGGCGGATGACTAGGATCTTGCAGCGGGGTGGGATCCAGGATTGGGATGAAGATTGGAGTGGGAATTTCGAGCCTCCAAATCATGGCGCCGATGGCATTTTGGCCATGAGTGATGCCGATTATCTGCGCGTGCTCGATCTCGATGGCGAGTGGTTCGATTGTCATGATGTTCAGGGGTACCTGGAAGATCGGGGGGTGACACTCGGCGCTTCGTCGACGATGTGGATGGAGGTTCCGGCGTCGACGGTTGGGTTGCTTTATGGTCTATCGCCGGATCTTTCGGCATCACAGCATTACGTTTCGCCGGTCGAGATGGGTGCGACGCAGTATCTAGGCTCGTCTCACTATGTGCTGGATGTGGAGTCTTTCTTTGAATGTGAGTTGCCATTCTCGCGTCATAGGATCTGTTGAGCCTCAGGATAAGCTAACGCCATCATCGCTAGTGCTTCTCGCCAATCTTCGCATCCTGGGCCGAGCGCCGGGGTTTCGACAAGGGGATGTGGATGCGGCTCTGCGGACAGCCATTCATCGGCGATCGTCGACTTGATGGAAACTACATAATATTTATTTTTTGGTAATGAGCATTACGAGAGACGAGGAAACGAGGAAACGAGTAGAATCATAGAATCAGAGATAACATGGGCAATCAATTTGTGATTCGCATTGTTTGGCATTGGGTATAGTAATCGCATAGACATCTGGTCTTAAGGCCTTGAAATGACGCAGGAAACATGAGAAGAGTCCGGGAAGATAATCAAGGCCAAGCCCAGGGTTATTCATCGTGGATCGTCAAGGGCGTGTGGCTCTTCGATTTCGATCTCCTCTTCGCGGGGAAAATCTTCTTTAACAGCAGATCTCGCAGCACTCGAAGCAGGCCAGACCGGCGCAGCTGGAACCAGTTAGTGTCATGAAGATCTATAGAAAGCAAAGGCTTGTTTTTTGCGACTCACATTCCGCAGCAGAGACCACCGCCGCCACCACCGCGCAGCTGCATGGACATACCCTCCTGGTTGGCCTGAAAGAACAAATATTGATTAGTTGAAGATCGCATGGTGGTGAGTGATCAGAATATGAGGACATACGGGCTGCTCAGAGACGACCTGCTGGTTGGTGGAGGGGGCAGCAGGGCTGGCGGGCTGCTGCATGGCAACAGTGTTGGAGTTCCAGGTGTTCTCGGGCGCAGAGTCGGACTCGGCCGGGGCGGACTTGAAGAGGTTGAAGTTGAACATTGTAGCGGGTAGATGAAGAAGGAAAGATTTCCTGTGGAGAGAGGATGTGGTGAAGAGGAGGAAGTAGAAGGGTAGACACGGAAAGGGTGTTTGAGGTGGTGTTTGAGGTTAATTGAGGGAATGAAAGAAACGGCCTGGCGGAAAGGAGGGGGAAGTAACAATTTAAATAAAAATTTAGCCGGGGATCAGCAGGGCCAGCAGGGCTGTAAGAAGAGAATCAAAAAAGGTACTTTTAATTAGAACAAACATTTGTACTCCGTAATACGGTTCGATGTGGAGGATCGGCTTTTCATTAATTCTCTAAATTCGGTTTAGTGGCCCCATTGCTTAAAGGGGGTCAGGGCCATGGATTCACACAGCCTTTTCCCAAGGTTCCATTGAAATGAACTCCCGCTAGGATGGCCATGCAGTTTTTGGTGCTAAGTATAGCGTGGGACTAAGCGGAATGGTGTTGCCTATCCCCATATTGCTGCGGCATCTTCTTACGAAACACACATCAACCACACCGCCACGCTGTGGCTCAGATGGCCGTCTAGATGGGGTCGTTACGTATTCCACTGAATCATTGGATTCCGCGGCACGGAGAAAGAAACGGAGAACACAACAGGGTGGATATCGATATACATTCAGGTGATTTTCTGCACTATTGACATCGAACCAGAGAGGGAGAGAGAAGGCTCAGCCCTTCAGCCCTAACCGATTTGATCAGCTGAGTGCCAAGACTCTTGGCACTGGGCCGGGTCACCGGATACTCGGCATAACATAACTTCCTGTTATGAACACGAACACAAATAGCCTACCTCTGCCTCTGCCTCCGCCTCTGGAGTCTGCCTCTTTATAACTTGGCCAAAATACCATCAGGTTGCAACACTGACAAATAACTCTTTTGGATCTCGCCGATATTGCGGCACCTAAAGATGTTAGCGACACCGATCGCAAATGCCACGAGGGGTACACCACGAGGAGATCTCACCCGGCCAACGCCATGGTAATCTTTAATTCTTGGCGCAGAATCTTGATCCCCAGCTCCACTCCTTCTTGTCCATCATACTGCGTGTGATCAGCAAGGGCCGCAGAAAAGAATGTGCACACGAACTGGCGGGAGAAAACATACTGCCAAACCCCAGATGGGAACTCGTCCCAAGAAACAAAAGCTGGCACCCAGAGCCAGTGCCTTGAAAATGTCCGAGCCTCGACGGATTCCACCATCAACCGCAATTGGAATCCCTCCTCGTGCGGCGACAGGGGCGCAGATGCGCAGCGCATCAAGGGTGGACGGGGTACCGTCTAGCTGGCGTCCGCCGTGATTGGAAACGATCACTCCGTCAACCCCATACTGGATAGCCAGTTCCACGTCCTCGGGAGAACAAACTGCAGGGGTCCACTCATTAACAAAGATCGTTGCCAAGGAATGTCATGTTTCTTACCTCCTTTCAGCCAGATTGGCAACGAAGTATGCTCCCGCAGCCAGGGGATGGTGCTCTCCCAGTCCAAACTGGGGTCTGTCAAAAGTAAGCTCAGGTCATATACCCTTGAGACGGTGAACAAACCGTAGTCGGTGCGGTCTGAGTGGTCGCTTCCACTGCTGAGAATATTGGGCCATTGCATGCTCTCCGGCAATGTGTAGTCATTTCGGTACTCGTTCAACCGCTTCCCCAGTACAGGCACGTCTACCGACAAGAACAATGCCTTGTATCCCGCCTCTACAGATATTATCAGCATAGATTGGATAACAGTATCATTGGGAATAGCACTTACTCTCCGCTCGCTCCAGCAACTGTATCGTAAGTGATCGGTCCTTCAGCACACACATTTGCATCGCATATGGGTTTCCAAGACCTTGCGCAGCAACATCTTCCAACGCGTAATTCGAGTAGGAAGATAATCCCATTGCGATTCCATAGTTGGCGGCTGCGCGGGAAGTTGCTAGCTCACCCTCTGGGTGTGCAAGCTGGTGGGATGCACTGGGGCTGAAGCCAAAGGGGAGAGAGACCTATATGACCGACGGGGATTAGCTCTGTTCTTTCAATCCTTTTTCTCAGTATCCCATTCCACTTCAGAATCAACTAACCTTGGAGCCAAGGATCTCGGTACTGGTGTCTATTTCCGCGACGTTGACTAGGATTCGTGGTCTGATTCGGTAGCGATCGTAGGCGGACTCATTCTCACGCAGACTGGCGGTTGAGATGGTTAGCAGACCCTTAATTCGATATTTTTGTATAGTTCATACGTGATCAGATCCATAGCTCCCTCATTGTAATAGTCTGCTGACTTTAGTGCTCGTTTTTGTCTTGATAAACTCAGAGTTGCCTACCTCGGACCATAGGGGATAGCCGCTTGCTGCCCAGCTCTTTAAGGTCTGCAATACAGCATACATCTTTGTGAAGGGTCTCGCCGCGATGCGCCATGATTAATTGAGTTGTAATATGTGTAGGAGGGAAGAAAGGAGAATTGGAGAAAGTTTCGAAGACGATCACAATAAGTAAGTTATCTCTACACCCGCGAAGCTACAAAAGATTGCAAGTGGTATCCTAATTCGAACACATGCTCGCATGACCTTCCAAGTGTATACATTTAGAGGAACTGGCTTCCTATCGCAGAATCCCCGCAAGGTGACCGTCGGGTGGCCGTCGGGATCGCCTTCCTGCAACAGAACCACCCCGCAGTGCCGCCGCAACATAGTATTAAAAGCAACATTCGAGCACGCGAAACACACAGTTCTGCATAACTATTTCCTTCCAAACTAGAACAGCTCACAAGAAGCTTCTATCAATCAACATGACTCGCATTTTACTGTGAGTTAGGGCCCGTCTGTCTTGAATTGGTGGCTTACATACGCTTTACCCCTACAGGACTGGCGCCTCCGGCTACATTGGCGGGGATGTTCTCCACCTCCTTAAGACTAGTCACCCAGAATATGAGTGCAGTATTTTACTGCGTGACAGCGGCAAGGCGGCCGCTATCTCCAAGGTATTCCCCGATGTTCGTGTCGTGCTGGGGGACCTTGATGCCGCCGCTTTGATTGAAGATGAGGCTGCCAAGGCGGACGTGGTTATCAGTAAGACTATCTTTGTGTATGAAAAAGGGGACATGACACTAATAGTGTGAAGATGCTGCTAGCAATAAGAACATGACTTGTGTGGAAGCCATTGCCCGTGGCCTCAATAAGCGCAGCGGGTCTAAGCCTGGTAAGTCAGGAGTGGTTGTTCTAAAGTGCAACCCTAGCTAATGAAGGCGCGACAGCCCACTGGATCCAGGTCTCTGGTGCAAGTGTTATCTCAGTTCCCGATATTCTGGCTGGCACCTTTGGCGAGGGCTCCAGCAAGAATTACGGCGATGTCGACAATGCCGAAGAAGTCCGCGATATCATCCGCAAAAATGCGGGCATGAGGGTCGTAGACAACCACCTGCTGAACAATGTGACCGGCTCTAAGACTGCCATCATCTTCCCACCTATTATCTACGGTGAGGGCCGAGGTGTTACCAAGCAGCGAAGTGTACAGATCCCCGAGCTCTCACGGGTAGCGATTGAGACGCGACAAGTCGTTCAGGTGGGCAAGGGAGAGAGCACATGGAGCAACATCCACATTGCCGATCTCAGTGATTTGTTTGTCAGGCTGGTTGAGAAGGCCGTCCAGGGTTCGGAGGAGGCGTTGTGGAATCAGAACGGACTTTATTTCATGGGAAACAGCATGCTGGTAGGTTAGCTCGACCATTCCAGAACCGATCAGAGGGCTAATTTGTGTTCAGTCCTTCGGCAAGATCTCACAACTCGTTGCGGAGGCCACGCACGCTCTTGGCTTAACTGACACAACGACTGTCAAGAGTCTCAGTGCTGACGAGGCGGACAAGTTATGGGCGCCTGCCAGAATATTCTGGGGTACTAACGCACGCATGGAAGGTCAACGAGCCTCGCGCCTGTTGGGATGGTCTCCACAGAAGCACTCAGTCGAGCAAGAGATTCCGACAACCGTCAAGGTGGAGGCGACTCTACTAGGCAAGCTGTGAGGGATCCAATTGGATAAATTGGAATAAATTAGATAGTAAACTACCCTAGGTCATGGGATCCATTCCATGGTCGTGGCGAGGAGGGGCAAATGTGAAGATAGAAAAATGATAAGCAAAAATGAAATTGGCAAGTCATTCCGACCGCGGGTTTGCGGGGCTCCAAGCTTCCACTGGCATCACCCCGGATTTTCTTTCCTCGCCATGGACTTCATTGATATGAATTAATACAATCAATTCCGGTTTCTAAATCAATTTGTATCAACAGGCTTAGTGCTATGGCGAGCTCGAAGCGAGCCCGCGCTCGCCGATC